CCTGGCAGACCCGGTAACCAGCAAGGGCGTACGATGGGCGCATCTCCGACACCTCGGTGATGTTCTCGTGACCTCTGCGATCTTCTCCACGTTTGACCCTTAAGATATTGATAACAACCTAGATATCCGACAGTAGGCGATCCCGTGCAGGCTGATAATACGAATTAAAGCAAAGGACAGATAAGATGCTGACATCTTCATCGAGCAGCCTCTCTTGCAGACCAATAAAATCTCACCGAAGTTATGCTGCTCTACAGCAATGCAAGGTTACCAGAAGTAACCTGCAGTCAACATACCTAAAATGTCGCCGGTATTAACATCTAACCGGTAAATCAGGTTGTCTTCACCGCCGCAGACAATCATGTCGCCAGAGTGATGCATATGCGCGGTAAACACAGGACAGGGTAATTCGAATTTGGCCACAAGTTCAGGTGCCGCGGCAGAGGACGCACGGAAGTCTAGGTCATAGACAACCACGTTTTTTCCAAGAGCAACCACCGCCTTAACAGAGTTTCCACCATCTGGAAGGGTGAGTGTTGCAGCGTCCATGGGACAGTCGTCAAGGGCAGCTGACCAGATCATTCGCGCCTCAGAGTTTACACCCGGTGTAAGGTCCCACAGGCTGAAACGAAAGAATGACTTGATGAATAATAGCATATGAATATTGTGTTGGCTAAATTCTTACAGATTAAAATAGCTTGCTCTCTACTCGCGTACAACTGCGGATAAGGAGAAATATTTGAGCCTAAAGAGGTATCTGAAGCGATGGAAAACTACGTCTATTAGTTTACTTTGGATTCAAAAACGAGTGACAGGGACGGAATTTATCGGGCTTTACAAGGAATCCGAAACAGCTGTTGGAGAAGAGGAATGTACAAAATCAGTATAAGGCAACCCAAAAACCAGGGGCATTGTAAGGACATTATCTCCGTTCTAGCAAACAAAAGAGCAATGGCCATGACTAATCGCGTTGATAATTATGAAAATGTCAGAGTCCTGCTCGATGACCAGGCATGGTAAAGGCTAGTGTATAAACCACAAACCCCAGAATAACCATGAGAGATTCATTGAGGTGACTTGGGAATTTTGGGTACGAGCGGGTCCCCAAC